GCTGCACCAGCCAACAGCTTCTGATAGCAATGCAGACACATGCATTTTCCCCTCACTACATTTCCGTTGACAGATTCAGTTCTGTAGGAGGGGAGAGGACAGTCACAGGAGGGAGTTCCTGTTTTTCTTTTGCCTGCAACGGTGTGGGGAAAAAAATCCTTCTACATTGTCTTCCTCCTCCCTTCTTCACTACTGGTCTTTTCTGGGGTCTCTTTGATGTGGACCTGTCAAGTTCAAAAGGGAGAAATGTTTGATGAGGAAGGAGGTGGAGAAGCAGGGTGCTCAGTGAGGACAAAGGCTCGTTATTTTCCCCTTTCACATCTGAATCTGTCTGTCCTGCCAGTTTTGGTGTCGGGAAAAGTGACAAACATTTGCACTGCCAGCCATTATCCAGGTGACCCCTTGCTTGTGGCCTGTGGCTGCCCTCTTACTTCGCTGACAAAAGGTTGTGCCATTAGAAGGAAGTCAGCTTTTCTCATGCTTCCCTCTGTCCCTGTACTCTCCTTATTTTTCCTTGCACCCCTTCCACCCATCACCTTAACAGCCTTCAGTTTTTTGTCAATTTCTCATCTCTTCTGCTGGGGCAGAAGCATAATGAAGGCAGGAACTCGGCCTCTGTCATTCGCTACTGAACCTGCAGGATCTGGAATAGCCTGTGACACTCCATCAATGTTTGTTGTGCCTCATGAGGTCCTTGCAGAGTTAAGGCTGGATTTTTTTTTTAGTGGAATTAGTAAGTGGTGATGAATATTCATCTACTATTCTTGCTCCCAGGGGATCACACAGTCAATGGCTTTCTGCCATGCAGCTCTTCAATGTTCAAAGGTATAATTTGATTTGGAGGGTATGCTTAGCTTCATAAGAGGTAGGTTTTTTTTTTTTCGGCTAATGCCAGGTTTATTGATATAAAATTTACATGCATTAAAATGGGCCCAGTGTGATGACTCTGTGGCTGAATCCTCACCTATCAAGCAGTTGAAGGTGGCCTAAAGCCTTGGGACCCTGCACCCACGTGGGAGATCTGGAAGAAGCTCCTGGCTCCTAGCTTCTGGCTTTCTGGATTGGCTTAGCTTTGGCCATTGCAGCCCCTTGGGGAGTGAACCAGAGGAAGGAAGAGCATAAAAGCTGATTTTGTGACCTGCTGGCCCTGGGAGGCCTGCTTGGTCCAGAATGAAAACCAGTGTTACTGGGAAGTAGCCTTATATTCAATTATACCTGTCAAGATCCCCCAGGAATCATTTGGGAAGTATGACACTCCCTTGAGACTGTCTCAAGTGTGTGGAGAGGCCCACTGAACAAGGCTCCTCCTCTGGGGGATTATTTACCCAAGTTGTTTAATCAAGCTTGAGAAATCAGTTATTACAGGCCCAAGAGACCTGCCACTTTTGAGTTCTGAGACCCTATTTCTCATGTCCATCTCTTCCTTAATTAATTAGGCAAACATCCCTTGAGTGCTTATTATAAGCCAGCACTGTTTTGCTTACTTGGGAAAACAGGAATGAAGAAAAAGGACTGGTCCCTGCCTACAGTAAGAAGATGGGAGAAATGCTGTGAGGGAAGGCAGAAGCAGCTATGGGAGCCCCAGGATGGGCTCCTGACTCTGCTATCAGCACAGGGGAGGTCATCAGGTTAGGACTTGTGGGGAACTGATAGCCAAGTGAAGGTTAAGGGTGAAGAAGAGTTAGCTGGGCTTGCAGTACACAAGAAAGCAGTTCAAGACCAGGGAGCATGGCAGTGAAGTTCCAGTGACGGGACCGAGTGCAGCACTTTCAGAGCCTGTGAGTGTTTGCCAGGGCATGGCTTAGCAGTTGGGGATGATGAGCATAGGCTGGAGGCCTATCAAGGTGGCCAGGTATACATTGGTGATGCTGGACTTTGGCTGTGGGAGCTAGCAAAGAGAGTCAGATGCAGGAATGATGTGTTCAGATATTTGTTGAAGTTCATTAACTTTGGGCACTCTATTACATGGATGGCTAGGGGACAAGTTCAGATCAGGGAGATGAGTGAAGTGGCTTGTGGTCATCCAGGAGTGGACAAGAGAGGCCTGTTGACTGGCAGTTGTGAAGTGGACCATTTTCAGCCAGTAACTGGAAATGTGTATGAGGGCAGAAGTGAGTGTGCTGTGCTTTTAAATGTTGAGAAATCTAGTACATGCACTTTTTGGTTTTGGTTTATTTGTTCACTTTCTTGGAAGACTGATGTGGAAATGTCCCCTTGGCTTCAGTTACCTGCACAGAATGGCTTAGGCATTGCCAAACCATTCTCTCTGGACTGAACTGCTCCTAGCATTGGTCACTGTGTTCTGAGATGGGGGAGGAGAGAACAGAAATCTTGCAGGAAGCCATGCAATAGCAACGTGGATGGGAAGTGTTGGAGCAGGAAGCTTATCTGTTTGTGTCTAGTAAGGTCAGAGTAGAACTTTCTGCCACTGTTCTGGGCTACTTATTTATATATTCGCTTTATATGAAAGACAGGATGACAGAGAGAAAGAAAAGTCTTTGATCCATTGGTTAACTCTCCAAATGCCCACAGGAACTGGGGCAGGCCAGGCAGAAGCCTAGAGCAGTCAGGTAGGTGGTGGGAATCCAGGCACTTATGCTGTCATCTGCTGTCTCCCAGGCTTGTTAACAGGAAGCTGGACTGGAAGCAGAGTAGTTGGGATGCAGGTGTCTAAACCTGTGGTTTAACCTGCACCTCCCCTCCCCCTGCCTCCTCTCGCCTCTCCTCTGCTTCCTGCTCTTCCCTCCCCCTCCTTTCTCATGAATGTTGCATGGAGGTGTATTTTCTCTTCCTATGAACTTCTTCACTGTATTGGGGTTTGGTCTGTTGAACTTCTGTTGAACTCAACACCAGTATTCAAGTTTTATCCTTCCTAGTGTGTCCCCTCATGTCTTTCTAGAAATCTACAGTGTGTTTGGATGAAATAACAGAGAACATCCCGTTTGAGCAGAGTATGAGTGTTTCTCTGTTAGAGGATACTGAGCAAACAGAAATACAAGGAATCAGGATATCATGACTTCCGCAATTACATTATGCCATGTTGAAAACTTACTTGTACTATCTTATTTAGCCTCCAGAACATCTTATAAGAAAGCCTATGTTGTCATTCCTATGTTATAAGGAGGGAATTGATATTCAGAGTTTAAGGCCTTGGGCATGATTCATAGTCCAGAAGCTGGCATTAATTAATGTCTGGGACCATTTTGCTGATTAGGTTTATATATCTATATCTATATCTATATATTTTATACTGTTTTATACTAACTGTTTTATACTAACATTTTCAGTGCTAACTTGGGAATCTGAAATGATTCATTTAGTTTCTAAATCTACAGAGTGATTCCTGGATAGGGGCTTTTCCCATGAGAAAAATGTTGCTAGTTATTTATTTCAGTGTTTCTGGAATACAACTCCCACCTAGGCCACTTAGGAAACAATGTGGGACCACAAGCCCCATCTCACCATGTTGTCCTGGCTGTCTACGCTGGGATTCTAGCTGACATCTTTAATCAGCCAAGTGCAAAATGATGCTGCACTGGTTTAACTCTTTCTCTTCCTGGAGTAAGATGGTTGGGGAAATGTGTTTTTCAAGACATTTACTGATGAGGAAAATGTGAGGGTATAAAATTTGAGCTTTTGGAGAAATTCTTGATTTATTTCATTGCCATTGAATGAATTAGAATGCATAGGATAGATCATCCCTTCTTCATGGACACTGCAGATTCTCTATAATCCCTCGTCTTTGCTGGAAATCACCACCTCCACAGCCCTCATATCCTGAATAGGTGAGAGCAAAACATCATAATAGTGGATGTTTAGTCCAACGCTTGATTTTTTATCTATAAGTGGTTATTGCACTCTTAGCTCTTTCTTTGCTCCTTATTGCTTTCTGGCCACTCTACTGCTATAGCATTGGAGTGATATGATACTGACTGGGACACTACTTTATAAAGAAAGGGCTTCTAGTTTTGACTAAGGATTCGTGACTACCAGCTGCCAATCAAGATTCACTTGAACCTGTATATTGTATATCTCCATCCTGTCTTCTTTCATTTTTCATTTTTGGCCCCTTCCCTACCTTTAATCTTAGTATCCTCGTGTGAGATTATCCAAGCATAAATAAGTAACAGCCGTTGGTGGGCAGCCAAGCCACACAGAATGTGTCCTATCTGTTGGTGAGAACCCCTCCTTGGCCCAGCATGGTGAAGCAGTCCTTTGATGAGGCACCTGCAACACTCAACAGGGGGTGGCTTGGCCATGTGCTCAAGTGAAGGGAGAGCAGGGCCAGAAGTGTGCACATACCCTGGCTGTGAGCGCTTGTCAGTTTCACTGATGACGCACTGTGCCTGCCTTAGCTGACTTGTCTCTCCGTGGGAGTCTGTCTCCTTTCCACAGAGACATGGCGCTCCTGTTGTCTTCATCACCTGGAACCATGTGTTGGCAATATTTCCTTGGGGCTTATAGTCCTCTAAGACATGCTGTGGCTTTCCAGATTTGGAAACTGCTGTCTTGATGGTGCCATTTATCATTTGAAGGACCCAATGTTGTTGGCCAGATGGAAATTTAGTCTGCAGAGCATTGCAGGGAGTGGTGTAAATCACTCCAGGCTTGAGGCAAAATTTATAAATGCTGTTGACATTTTATAGGAGTTAGGGAGGGGTGAGTGGGATTCCAGTATGCTATTTTCATTCTCTGTGTTTTGACCACCTAAGATTCCTCACTCAAGTCCACTTTCCTAAGTGCATTTTTCATTCTTGACACACCAGAAAAGCTAATATGATTACGGCCCCTAGCAGCTTGGCTCCAGGCTGCTACTTCAAAGCCTGAAGCTGTGTTTGCTGGAGGGCCCAGGAAGTCAGGGACTCTGATCTGTTGAGGAGTGGTCATGACGCAGACCTGAGGTCGGAGGTCTCAGGTTAGAGGGCTGCAGCGACGGCCCTCATTGGTGTATGGCTTTGTGGTGATCACTAACAGTTCTTCTCCTCTGCTTTATCTTTCAGTTAATGACCAGCCACAGAGGCTCTGCTGGAAGCACCGGCCATTGCCTCCAAGGGCGAGCCACAAGCAGGTTGCTGTGGGTGCCCACTGAGGTAACATGGCTTGTTGGCCTCAGTTGAGGTTGTTGCTATGGAAAAACCTCACTTTCCGAAGAAGACAAACAGTAAGTTTGGGTTTCTCTATGGTGGGTGGTAGGGGTGGTGGTTCCTTCATGCTTTTCTCCTAGGTTTTGATTTGAAGAGGGAGGGAGGGGAACTCTCTTCTTCTTGTGTTTTTGCACAATGAATGATTGAATGAATCTTGTTCTGATCGACTTGGGACTATGTGATGCCATATGGCCTGGTTGCTTGTTAGTGAGGGAAGATTTACAACTGTACAGAAATGTTAGATTTGGATTTTGTTAGTGCCCAAGCATGGGTTCTGACCTTTGGAACCTGGCCCGGAGTTGTGCCTGTGCACCTGTCTTCCCTTTGGCTGCAGCCCTGGGAGCCACATGGCTCTCCAGAAGCACATCATGGGTCCCTGGGATGTCTGAAAGTTGAGCATGAAATGAATGAACAAGGTTTGGGTCTTTTGATTTCTCTTTAGACTTCCTCCTTTCCTCTCTGACTGCAGATCTGGGTGAATATAATGACTGAGACCTGTATTATTTCTGTGACTGGTTCAAAGCCATTCATGTTCCACATGGGTCAGTAATACTTTGAGAAATCCTGGGAAGATCATGTTTATTGCACAGGTTAATGGCATTTTCCCAAGGAATGTGAAGGCTCTAATGTGGGGTGAATTCCTTGAAGCTCAGATGTCAGCTCTTTGCTTCTTTATCTCTAAGCACACTTCCTTAGTGATTACCTATAGTCTTTTGGGCTTAGCTGTAGTTGGTTTCCAGATCTCTGTTTTTGGTTCTGCCTTGGTGCTGAAGTCTATGCCTATATCCCCACTTGATGTTGTAGTGAAACTCAAATTGTCTATACTGTGTAGATCGACTTTTGGAGAGATTCAAAAAATTTAAGGGTCTTTGGTGAAAATTTAACTCACTGTTTCTCAAAGTAGGCTAATGCTTAGGCCTTTAATAGAAAATATTGAGACACAGGTTCACTAATTTTCTATTTATTATAATATTTCTTAAATATGTACACACTTATATAACCCCCTTATGCTTATTTTCTACAGTACACCATTGTATACATTACAACAAAAAAAGTGCAAAGTTGCAAAACCAGTACAATTTCAAGCTGACACCATAAATATGCTGAGACAACTTAGCTCATGAGCTGAAACCAAATTAGAAGTTGAAGCAAATACTATTATGACAGTGCTTTTGAGTTTGGTCAGTTTGGATTACTTAGTGATAAACAATTAATTCTGTATCCATCTTTTTCTTCTTAAACTGCTTTTCCTTGGATGCCATTGGCTTTGCTTTGGCCCAGTCTCATGATTCATAGATTGAATCAACATTTGTTGACTCATCATTGGCCTATTACAATTATAATGGTGCCACAATTGCAAAAACAAATGTAAACATGTTTTTAAAAATTACTATAAAGGAACACATTTCATGCATTCCATAAATATGGTTCCAAGAAGGCAACCATACTTCTGTCCCTCCCTGTTGCTCCAGTCTTCTTCTCTTCATCAGTTTTACAGAGACATAATCTTAATCTATTTTATATTCACATGCTTAGTTCACTACTAACCAAAATATTCAACAAGTAATAAACCAATAGTTGGTTCTAAAGTAAGCAATTAGAAAATCTGAATAAGCTTATTACAATTTGTGTTAATGATCTTCAGTGAAAATCAAAAGTGTTTAGGATTCACAGAGAAAATTTAAGTATAATCCCTCAATAATATGTATACAGATTCTAGTTTGAGAAACACTGTTTTTTCTCAGCCTTTTAGGGTACTAATGGGGAACCTGAGTCCTGGCATTAAGCAGGGACCAGTATAGATGCATTTTAATAATAATAATGGTAAAACATGATGTACAATATTATTTTAATATAATAAAATCAAACAGAATGAGTTTCATGCATGTGCTAGGCGTTACATGCGTTATAATGGTATTACTCATATTAAGTCCCATGAAGTATTATTACCTCCTCACAGGAGGAAGTCATTTGTCTGAGATCCACCCCACTAATAAGAAGCACAGATAGGTTTCAGATCCAGATAATCTGACTCCAGAGTTTGTTCTCAATCACTGTCAGATTACCTTTTAATAGTATCATTGTTTTGTTCTGTCTTGCAGCTCAAAATCCTGAAGTTCCTGACTTCTTTGTCTTTCGCCTGTCTTTTGCAGTTGTTCCCAGGCTTTGGTGTCCTTACATTCTATACATTCATTCTTAGTCTGATTTTTTTAGCTAACGTATGGTCTATGACCTCTGTCTTTCCTCAGCGTGGCAGCCCACTTGATGGGAAATTGTCTCTTCCATGGTGTGGCCACTAGTGGGTAGTTGACAGGATCATGTTGTGTTAGTAATGAAAGGGGTGAGTAGGTAGTCTAGTCCACACCTCTGATTTTAAAGATGAGAAAGTTGAGGCACAAAGCAGGGAAGGGTTTTTCCCAATGTCAACCAAGCAGCAGCTGAGTTGGAATTAGACACTGGGATCCCCAACTCTTAGGCCTCAGCTGTCCCATCACAGTGACTTCCTTCCTTCTTCTGAATCTTTTGCAGCTGGTGGAGGAAGAGTCAGGGAAGATGTTTTGTGTACTCAGCCAGGGAAGGCATTAGTACTGGGGCCTGGAACAGGATGTGGGATTGGGTCATCTGAACTGGGCCAGTTTCCACTGGTCTTGGGCTTGTTGTCTCTTGCTCAAGATTACTGACGCCCTTGAAAGGGGTAGGATTAGAGGGATAAGTAGGCTTATTTAAAGGCAATTTACAACTTGGTGGCAAAGTTCTTGTGAAAGAGGGAAGAAGGGATGCAATACCCTGATACAAAAGGGTTTTTGTAGCTGTCTCCTAGCCTCTTTCAGTTACCTCTCATTCTGATCAAAATATATTTTGCTGAATCAGAGACAAAAATGGTTGAAGTCACAGATGCCTAGATTGTTAGAACTAGGAATGGTCTGACCTTCCCTTTGTGTGGCTAATGGGGTTGGACTTAGTGGGGCTGAGGATCCAGGTTGGTCCTGCAAGCCCCCGGGCCATTCCAGCAGGCTTTGCTTTATCTGCACTAAAGGTTGGTCCCAGAATCTTAGCTTTTGATGAGGCATTACTTCCCAACCAATCTGACTTGGGTTTCTAGATTATATTATTTAGGCATTGGAAACTCTTAAGTGTTTGGGTGCATTTTGTTGGCCCATCAAAATAGATCTTCCCTGTTCATTAGGTAGGAGAATGAGTTAGCAGTCCCCTGATAGTTCTTGCCCATAAGATACGGAAACCCAGTGACTATTTGATTTCTCCTTAGACCCCGGAGAGTGAGCTTTTGTTGCTGAAACTCCATCTACAGCCTGGCCCTTGGGATATACTTAATAATTATTTGCTGAATGATTGGTATATGTGTTAATGGCCCATCAGTTGGCAGGTCTTTAACTGACTCCCTTGCCCTAAGAGCCTTATGTGCTGCTTCTTGAAGAATAGAAATGATATGTAATTTCCTGGAGCTGGACAGTACACTTTTGAACTACCCTTTTGGAAGACATTATTGTCCTCCCATTCTGAATTCTTGTTTGTGGATGAATCCTAGGGACTCCTCTTCCAACCCTCATTGTTCAGACTCGTGGGGTGCATCAGCCAGGATTAGTTTTCTACTCTTTCTGTTAAGCAAAGAATACACTAAATTGAGTTGCAAAAGTTGGGTGCAAAGCTCAGTTTGGTTCCAAAGTGACAGCTTGTGTGGGTGGCAGTCATTCCGCGCAAACAGGGCTTAGGACAGGAAGAGCGGAGGACTTCAGACTTCTTAGGATCCCCATCTGGTTTTAGGCTGAGCCAGAGGCCAAGGTCTGCATGGAGCAGGTTGGAGGGAGTGACATCTTCTTTCTTTTTCTCTGTGTGTTTAGTTTTCTCAATTAGATAAAAATGAATTCATGAATCATTTAGATTTTTATATATTTGAATAGTACTACTTGGGCAATCGTTCATGACAAAGACTAAGATATCAAAAATTTAAGTGCTTTCTTTCTGTGCCATTAGAGAAGAGATGGGCATTCTGCATCTCTTTCCCACTTCTAGTTTCACTGTCACATTCATTTCTTGATCTTAGTCCTGGCTCAACAACAATGGCCATGATTGCAATCCCAGGCTGGCTACTGTGTGCCTCAGACGCCTAGGGAAACTTATTTCTCCAAAGTTTTAATTTTCCCTTTCACTTGCATGGGATGAAGAAAGAACAACTTTGTTGTTTTATTTGGATAAGTATTTATTGAGCATCTATTACTTGTGGGATGGTGTTCAGGGCCTTTGAGGGTACTTCATAAAGTTCATGGAAATTACATTAAAAGGTAAGTTTATGTTGTTGCAAACATTTTTGAAATCCACACAGTTTTTTCATAATTTGGATTTTCCATTAAAATTTTGAAGACTTTTTATGCATGGATTTTAAGAAGTTTTATACCAAAATAAACTTATCTTTTCATTCTATTTTTCAACTTTTTAAGCTTCTTATTATAGTGAGCAATACAGATCTCTGCTCTTCTGGTATTTATAAAATTGAAGAAAGCAGATATTAAATACATCTCATAAGTAAAACTCTAAACTGTGACAAATTGCATGAAGAAATAAACCACACAAAGTGTGGTACTGTGTTACATACTAACAGGTGTGGATAGGGTCTTCATTTATTATTTATAAAAACTAGCTTATGTTTTTCCTACCTTTTTTCCCTCCTTTCCTCCCTCCCCCTCCTTCCCCTTCCTTGCTTGCTTGCTTCTTTCCTTCCTTCCCTGCTCTCCCTTCCCCTCCGCTCCTCTCCTTTCCAATCCTCTCCTGCAGCAGTAACAGGGTTGCGGGAAAGAAATAAAGAGAAACATGTTCCATCCACTTGTTCACTTCACACCTGTTCACAATGGCCACGGGCTGGTCAAGACTAAAACAAGAATCCTGGTCTCCGACATGGGTGGCAGGGGCCCAATTACCTGGCCCACTGCTTGCTGTTGCCTGTTAACAGGTAGCTGGATCAGAAGCAGAGTTGCTGCAACTCAAATTGGTCCTGTGATAT